GGTTCCCTGGGCTGTGCTCTGGCTTCACGGGGTCTCCCCTGTCCTGGGTGCCGGTTCCCTGGACTGTGCTCTGGCTTCACGGGGTCTCCCCTGTCTTGGGTGCTGGTTCCCCTGGACTGTGCTTTGGCTTCATAGGGTCTCTCCCTGTCCTGGGTGCTGGTTCTCTGGGCTGTGCTCTGGCTTCCCGGGGTCTCTTCTGTCCTGGGTGCTGGTTCCCTGGGCTGTGCTTTGGCTTCGCGGGGTCTCTCCTTTGGCCCCCAGAAGGAGGGAAGGGGACATGCTCCAGCTCTGCTAACCTGTAGCTCCCATCAGGGCACCTCTACCCGCTCTGACGAGGACTGTGGCATTTGCCCACCTGGAGTCAGTCCTGTGAGGGTGGGTCCACTGCCTATCTTTAAAAGGGAGGCATCTACCACCCATTGTTCTTAGTCTCGAGTGCCCAGGAGGAGTCCGTCCTGTTCCTTAAGGCTGGTGGTGCAGGACTGGCATACACTGAACGTCCAGTGAATGTTGGCGTTATTGGTATTTACCTTCTTTGGGCTTCAATTTTGTCAGCCAAAAAAATGGGGTTTGTGGTAAGCTTTGCTCTGCTTGCTGCCTGGGGCTGTTAACACATATGAAAGTATTGGAAATCGGTTTTATTTTTGTACTTCAGCCTCAGCAAAATGGGATCTCTCCACGCATGTTTAAGGCCTTCGTAAGCAAGAGCCACCCGGAGTTCTCTTCCAATCGACAACAAGACGCGCAGGAATTTTTCCTGCACCTGGTGAATCTAGTAGAGGTGAGCGAGTCTTCCCCAGGGCTCAGAGGGCTGCACGGAGAGTGTCCAGCCGCTCGGTGCTGTCCACAGTGGCTGGACCAGAGTGGCCACCCTGTTGTCTTCTTATCCCTGTCGTCCCCCAGCTGAAGCCACTTCACAGCTGGCTCTGGAAGCACTTCAGCCCTCTTGCTCTGACTGCCCCTCCTGCCTGCTTTCCAGGCACCTGTGCATCTTTCTGGGCTCCTTTTAATCTGTGTGTGTTGCTGGAGTGTCTTTTAGTCGTTTTACTCACTTTTTGTGTGTGTATCTCTGTGACAAAGTTTTTTAAGAGCCCTGTGTGGCATGAGGCATCCTCCTGCTATTGCTGGGAGATGGTTACTCTGCCCCCAGCACCATCCAACCACATTAAATACTGTAGTTTTTAAAATCTGCATGAAAATTCGTGAATAAAGGCATACCCCCCCATATATATATATATATTTTTTTTTTTTTTTTGAGACAGAGTCTTACTCTGTCCCCTGGGTAGAGTGTTGTGTTGTCATAGTTCACAGCAACCTCAAACTCTTCGGCACAGACAATCCTCCTGCCTCAGCCTCCTGAGTAGCTGGGACTACAGGCGCCCACCATGATGCCTGTCTAGTTTTTCTATTTTTAGTAGAGATGGAGTCTTGCTTTTTCTCAGGCTGGTCTTGAACTTCTGAGCTCAGCCGATCCACCTGCCTTGGCCTCCCAGAGTGCTAGGATTACAGGTGGGTGACACTGTGCTTGGCTAATATATGTATTTCTGATTATAACAGTGTACTTTATGGAAAAGATAGAAAACACAAAGGAGAAAACCCAAGTCCCTCACAATACCAAACCCCACAGACACCAGTGTGCACGTGTGGGCGTCTGTCCCCAGTCACTGCCCGGGTCACAGGGACGCTCCCTGTGTGCTGTCTCGTAACCAGCGTTTTCACTTTCCGTGCTGTGCACGTGTTGCTGCACCATTACGTCCACTAACATGGTGTGACTGCTTTTGTGTGCATGTTTAATTCATAGGAATGAGTTTGTACAGTCGTATCATACCTGCCCTTATTTTCCAGAGCAGTCCTTCATTTTCTCCCCTTTTCTTGCATTTTTCTCCTTCCCCTGCTTTCTTCTCATTCCATCAATGTCAGTCCCTTGTACATGACTTTTAATGGAATGGTATTATCATGTTCATTCACACAGTGAACTATATTTTATTTGACCAATCCCCCATTTTTGGGTGGTAGATAAATTCCTGTGTTTTGCTCTTCAAGGAGTCTGGTGAACTATTGTGTCCAGAGGAAAGCCAGATCTTGACACCAGATTCATCGTTGATTCTGTGCTAGTTTTAAGGGCCTAGTATTCATAAGTTTACTAACCTGATGTAATCTAACCTTCAGAGGAACCGCATCGGCTCAGAAAACCCAAGTGATGTTTTTCGCTTTTTGGTGGAAGAACGTATTCAGTGCTGTCAGACCAGAAAAGTCCGCTATACCGAGAGGGTGGATTACCTGATGCAGTTGCCTGTGGCCATGGAGGCAGCGACCAATAAGGGTAAAGATTTCAATGTGGGAAATGAGCAATGTGTGTCTTCCTATGGGAAAATCCCTCCCATCAGGGAGAATACAGTCTCGTCACTGAGAAGTGGATCAGGAGCAGATCCAGCCGAGATGATGTCTGCTTTGAACATCTGTCTGTATCTTTTCCTTAGTTTCTACAGAACTTTCGTTTGAGAAGAATCAAATGCACCACAGATTTCATGGAAATTTTATGGATAGAACCTACTTCACAGCCTGTTAGTTTGGACAGCTAGTTGGTTTGGAGTCAGCATAATTTTGGGGAAATTATTGGTAATGATATTCATAGAAGATTTTTTTTTTTTTTGAGACGGTTTCAGTATGTCACCCTTGAAAGAGTGCCGTGGCGTCACAGCTCACAACAACCTCGAATTCTTGGGCTTAAATGATTCTCTTGCCTCAGCCTTCTGAGTAGCTGGGACTACAGGTGCCCACCACAACACCTGGCTATTTTTTGTTGTTGTTGCAGTTGTCATTGTTGTTTAGCTGGCCCAGGTGCCAGCATTGGTGCATGTGGCTCCTCCGTAACCATTGTGCTTTGGGCGCCAAGCCTGCATAGTAAATTCTTGAGCAGTATTATTCATAAGTTGTGCTATAAAGTCCAAGGGAAATGATCAGAGCTGCACTTTTCCAAGTTTGACGTGTGAGCAGAGGTCTCTTGAAATACTCCAGTTTTGGCAACTGAGTATTTAAGACACCTTTCCTAGGAGATAAATTGTGGCAAGGCTCTTTGTAGGAGCAAAGCCCCATAGAAATGTCTCTGGACTTTGGAAGAGAAAAGGAGGCAGAGATACGGCAGCCACTTTGGGTTCTCCGGGGAAGGTTCTTTCTCCTTCTGTCAGTCCAATCTAGCTCTTCCCAGGCAGACCAGACAAAAGTATTTCTTTGAATTCACATCTTAGAAGCAGAAAAAGGCTTCTCATCTCCTATGAACTGGACATTTTATAAAGTTTAACAACTTCCTAGGTGGCCTTTTTCCCTCTTTTTCTGGGGTGATAGGTTAATTTATTATGCCAACTGGAGAGTGATGATTATGCTGATTTTGAGATGAAATGATTTCCGTTTTCTATAAGCTCAGATAGTTTCTTTTTGAGGCAGTCTCACTTTGTCATCCTGGCTAGAGTGCCATGGTGTCATAGCTCACAGCAACCTCAAACTCTTGGGTTGAAGTGATCTTCTTGCCCTAGTTTTTCATTTTTAGTAGAGATGTGGTGTCAGTCTTGCTCAGGCTGGTCTCTAACTCATTAGTTCAGGCAAACCACCTGCCTCAGCCTCCCAGAGTGCTGAGGTTACAGGCAAGAGCCACCGTGGCTCATATAGCTTTTGACCAGTTTTTAAATTCTTATCTATTCAAGGCAGAAATAACGCAGTAAGGCTGTGTGGTTTGTTTCCTTTTTAGAATTAAGCTCCATTGTTTTATCTGGCCTACCTCAGGGGTGGTGGCTTACATGTTCTGCTCAGTGCTAAGGTCTTCTCTGACTCACTATTTATAACTTATGAGTGGTAACTGTTTTTTTCAGAAAGGGGATTTATAAATTAGTCTCTGACAATTGATTGTTGAGAATACCTGATGTTAGCACCCTGGATAGAAGCATATCACAAACCGATTGTGGACTGAGGAATGAATTTTAAAAGCATACTCAGATATGTTCAGGAAACACATTGTGTAAGTGTACCTAATAAGTCAGGAATGATTTTGAGGTGATTGGGGGAAATAGAAAATAAATGACCAGACCAGAAAGACCACTTAATAGCTATATAAAATTTTCGGGGATTCTGGGAAGATGGCCGACTGGTAGCAACCCTGGTCAGAGGCTCCTGAACAAAGGAAGAAAAACTGGTTGGAATCAGAATCTATGAAGTCAAAGACGGGGAGCTGAGCCCAGAAAGAAGTTCGGCAAG